TTCGATTCTTTTGGAATACGAAATGAACGATGGGCACAGTCTATAACTGGCAGCATGATCGCCATTGCAATTAATGCACTTGGCATTTCCATCACGAGTGGATCGTTGACATTGATTTGGTCCGTGAACTTCCGTGCACTTGACGCATCGGAATTTATATCCACAATTTTGAGATGAGTGACCCCAACGTTGGCAGTTGAAGCACTGCGTTGGGCTTTTGTTGCCCTTCTTGATGTTCTCCCACTTGACGATGATGTTGTCGATGTTGCGGTGGTTATGATTGAGCACGTTGATGTTCACACTTTCATCTTGAAAATGCACAAGATAAAAGGTGAACTCGGGCTTCTTGACGAGAATTGTCACTTTGACAGCTGAAACCTTGGCTTCTTGAAGTAATCTTAGTACTTCATTCGTTGGTGTTTCGTAAAATCCTTTCAGAACGAATGACTTTGTTTTCTCCGATTTCTCGGAGAAGGTGTGGAATTGAATAGTTTGAGACCGCAGAAGGTTTATTATTGAGGCCTTATCCTCAATAGACTTGACAATTACTTGAGTTGTATTTGATGATGAAATTTTATATGCAGGCATAACCTGCAATTTCAATAGTGAAATTAATTTTCTCACATCCTTGAGACTGCATTGCACAAATATTGGCTTGACTGAAGTTGTTGTTGTGACTGGAACCGATGATTCCTCTTTCTGAGGCGTTTGCTTCCTCTTCTTGGAATTTTCATTAGATTTGCTTGAACTTTCGTCCAAATCAATTTTTGGCGACAAATCTTGCTTTCTTTTGGCTTTCCTCATTGTCCTTGAGGAAAACACAACCCTTGGCACTTACTAAGAAGGTTTTTTCAACTAATAACGACTTGAACACTTTAATTAATTTAATAATAAATTTTCCACGTTTTTGTGCGCGGGGCTTGAAACTTCTGATCTTGTAAACTAGCTAGTTTTACAAAAACCGTTAAAAATGCCTTAATAAGCTTGAATTTTTAAAAAAACTATTAAAAATTAAAATGTGAAAAAAGTCGTTGAAAATTTAAATTTAAATTTTTCAAAATTCTAAATTTTCAATTCAGTTATCAAGACAATCTGCCTTCGATACCCATCTTCGGCACACTCCCAAAATAAAATTCACGTTAATCAGAAACGTTTATCATCATTCAATCGTCATTGAATCCATCAGCACCTCTGCATTAAATACGATTAAATCAAATTCGATTTATTTATTTTTATCTCACGATAACGATTGATTTTTTGTATTTTTTTTTTTTTGACGAGTATTGTAAATATTTGATAGCAACTGATCGCTGATGAGTAGCGATTACCAATGACATCGAATATTTGTACATACTGCAAACTACCACGATTTTCATTGTAGATAGAGTCTCATTTAATCTACGGATTGCAAAGTTAATTACGTTGAGTATTATAGATAATAATAGAAATAAGAACGGGTTGAGAATTGTCTGCATTAAAAGTCGATTATTGATTATTTTGTAAAAGCAGAAGATGTTATATTTTCGAGATTTCTTTTTAGCACATTTTTGGAGGATTATTTTGTTTATCTTGAGCTTTGGTCGATTAGATGAACTCTTTTCTGGTTAGATTGGTGGTATTTTGAAGTGATTAAGTTGTATTGTGAGTGTAATGTGGATGTTATTTAATTTGGTAGGAGAATGGAATTGATTTTAAGCTTCTTTAGAAGATTCTTAGCAAAAATGAGCTATTCTGAGCAAATGTAAGCCAGTATTATAAAAAATTAGCAAAACTGAGCAAATTGAGCAAAACTGAACAAAACTGAGCAAAAGTAAGCAAAACTGAAAAAAACTGAGCAAGACTAAGCAAATTGAGCAAAACTGAGCAAATTGATCAAGACTAAACAAAAGTGAGCAAGACTGAGCAATGAATGAATGAATGAATGAGTTAAGTAAATGTGAGTAAAACTGAGCAAGTTGAGCCAAACTGAGCAAATCTGAGCAAAACTTAACAAAACTGAGCAAAACTGAGCAAAACTGAGAAAATTGAGCAAAACTGAGCAAACTGAACAAAACTTAGAAAAACTGAGCAATTTTGAGCAAAACAGAGCATCATGAGCAGCTTTTAAGTTTAGAATTAAATTTCTAATTTTTTTTATGTACATTCAACAGCTTCAATCCACTCCAATAGCGCTCCATCACATTCCATCCCTTGTCCTACCCCAACTCAGATTGTATGACTTTATTCCCAGAAGGAAGATGATCTAAGAGATTTAAGACGGAATTGTATTTTTCTGACTTTTAATTTTTTTTTTTTTTTTCGTCTTTTTTCCTCCTTTTATAGGCTTAAGGCCTTTCTTTTACTCTATCGATCCGCCTTTTATGTACATGAGAATGAGTTGTTATTATAGGACTTTTTTTTATCAAACATTTTTCTCTTTCATTTCGCCTTCAGTCCTTCCAAAAACACATAACGAAGACTTTTGTTAACTTTTCTTTGTTTTATTTCTTGTGATTTTTTTTTTCTCTTCTCATTGAGAAAAGCTTTTAAGTCGCTTCTGCATGAATCAATTAATTATTTCCTTTTTCACCCTCTTTTGGTTCCTATTAAATTTCAGTTTTTTTTCTCAACTCGATTTTAATCAAATAATCTGTGGTAATGTCGTGTAAAATTTAATTTAAGTCTTTAGGTTTGTTTGATTTTTTTTCTTTTTTAATTTGATTTTTTTTCTATAAATTTTAAAATAAAAATTGAAAATCTAGTGAAATAATAATTGTGTTAAAGTTTCATTCGCTTAACCTCTATCCACCTCTCACATCCCTTCCGTTCTTTGTTATTCTACAAAATGTTCATTTTGTAATTATCTAAAAACAGTTGATTTATAAAAAGTAAGTTGACTTAGAACACGAAAAAGGTTCGATTCTTATCATTTATTTATGTAATTTTTAAATTCACGTTTGTATTTTTTTCAAATTTTTATAGTTTGTTATTCAAAAGTGTCATCACTTAATTATCATCGCCTTAATTGCTGCCACAGTCGTTTATTTACTCAGTTAATAAGTTCTACTTGAGATTGGCTAAAATAAGAAACTCATTAAGACATCTTCGATAAGAATAAGATACCACTTGACTTATCTTTTGATAGATTATGACATTAGCTAAAATTGATTGTATTTACGATACGATTTCTGGTATTTTTGAGGGCATATCTAATTTAGTAGGTTTAATTATGGACGAAAATTGAAGGATTAATTTCAAAATATCTGGTAACTTACCTCCTTATCATTTAACACTTAGTGGTCATTTACTGATGACGTCAGAAATTAACGGTCATTTTTTAAAAAAAAAACAATGGATTTTCAGGAATTTTTATTGTTCTTTTCTTGCCCTTCTCCTCTGGACGTCATAAGTGAACAGCCCTCAGTCTTAGTTTTGCAAATATTACGGAAAGTCTGCTCAACATGAACCTTAAAGCTTTAGCTTATTTCTCTAGCTACCACCAAGATTAAGCCACAAATCAAATGACTCAAAAAATCCACAAAACATCCCTATCCTCGAAAATGCCAATCAAGGAAAATTGATTAATTAAATAAATTTAAAAATCCCCATTGTCGCCATTCGAACACGTTATTATGAAATGTTTTCAACCGAGTAAATATCATCAATAATTCAATTGATGTTCTCTGCTATTTGCTCAATATGCCTCATTCTCAACACAATCAATCAATTCTTGATTTTAAAATATTTTTTTTTTTTTTTTTGGAACAGAAATTTTTCAAGTTTACTGACTCATTCTGGTGCTGTTGAGGCATGCATGTGTGTGTTTATTGAATTTTCAATTTCGAATTTTCATCATTTGGCTTTAGTCCCTATTGTGAAATGTTATTAATTGGTCACATGAGTCAATAGAATTGAAAATTTATGCTGACAATTTATTTCATTTTATGTTCATCCCTACAAATTTTTCAGGGTGGATTTTTGTGATGATTTGATAGATTTTTATTGAGTTACTTTAAACTTTTTTAAGAAAAGATGGAAAAATTTAAAAAAAAAATTACAAATCGAAAAATATTGAATTTTAAGAGTTCAAGCAGCAGCTTTTCTCATCCTTAAATGTTGTTTTTTGAAATTATAAATGTTGACTTTAGACTGATGATTAAATTTTGTCCTTGTAACTCTGCATAATTACATGACCCAGGGTATGTCAATACAATGGACCTAGCCACAATTTGTGTGCTCGCGATTCACTCAAACCGAGTTGCCATGACAAGAACAGCTTAAAAGCACCCAAAATCCGACTGGACATTGGGATCGAACCAGGGTCGTTAGCGTTGGTCGCTCAAAACTCTATCCACTACGCCACTGGTGCTTAGGAATCGAACTTATAATTCGGAATAAAATTTTAATACTTTACTTATTGCTATTTATTTATTATAATCATTAAGAGCTATTTAAGAAGATATTTGTGCTTTGGTTCTGAGTTTCTGCGAACCTTTACAGTTACATGTGCTCGCTGTTGGTACTTTCAATTGAACATAATGGAAATGAAGATCATAGCCTCCTTTAAGAGCTCAAATCAGAATTATGGTCTTAAAATCTATTTGTCATGTACTTAGAGATTCAACTAATGACGCTTAGTCTCTAGTTTTTTCAAACTTAAGCTCAAAAACAAGCTACGGACTATAGAGAATATTAGATTTGTCTATCAAAGCTCAAAAATTATTCCTTAGTTCAACTCTGTCTAACCCAAAATATTAATATTCCTTTTCAATTCTATATTTGCATACACATACAAGCACATTGACACAAAGTCAATGACAGTAGATATTAGTGAACATGTCCAGCTTCAAAAGCCATATAGAATTTTATGAGAAATTGTATCACATCAGACAGAAAAAGAATCTCAATGGACATTAAATGAATATGAACATGAGAAAAGTGCATGAAAAAAAAGCTTTCAATATTCATTTCCATTTCTTTTTGTGCCTCGTCCCTCAAAAAAAATTATTCATCTTTCTCACCTTTATGGATTGCATCTGCATAATTTAAATAGGCAGCAGGATGAAAAGCGGGATGAATGCCGAGGGGAAATGGTAATGGAAAATTTGAGTACATTGGAGTTGGTTTCATAGGTAGATCTCCCTTCAATGCCTCATCAGGCATACCCTCAGGCACCGGCGATGGTGATTTTGATGATGATAAATCATTCACATTTTTAATCTCATTAGAATATGACTTGAGATCTGAATTCTTGGTCATTTCATTCCCGACGCTATTTCCCTTCATCATTAAATGATGTGCTAGCAGTTGACTGTCGTTCTGTTGCTGTTGCTGCTGTTGTTGATGTAAAATGTCTGCAATTCTGAACGATGATTTATTTTTTGAAAATGGGTACATGTCCTTCATGGATTTTAAAAATTATTTTTTTATATCACTTTAATCACTTCACTTTTATTACTTCTTTCAAATCCAGTCGTCACCAAAAAATAAAAACTATCATAAAAAATATATTAAAGTCTTTTTTTATCGAAGGTAGCCTAATCAAATCAAACGTATGACTAAAATAAATTCACGAATTGCGTTCACATTTAACGCAAACACAATTGAATTATTATTGTGTGATAGAATATGTATTTTGTGTATATATAACTTATTTTTTTAAGCAACCAACCAACGGTGCGAGACTGAAATGACTTTTTAAGCCTTCACTCTTTTTTATGAATGGTTATTGGTGTTGTTATTACCCGAAAAAGTTTTTGGGAATGATATTGATAAGCAAACAATAAAGGTGAGTTTGATAAGGATAAGGAAATGATTGGAATTGTGGCGCATTTTTTTGGTTGTTGAAAGGATTGTTCACTGCTTGAGAGAATTACATTTAGGAGGCTTGAGCTATCATGGATTAATATTATGTGCAGCGAAGTTGCTACTTATTTTTTAAGAGGTTGATTTTTAATTTTGGGGGGGAAGGGGGGTTGAATTGCTCTATATTTTCATGTTTTATTAATGACTATAAATTTTGAATTTTACGAAGAATTCTAGCAAAATCCCAATGGGTGCCGATGGTTCTTATTCTTCGAAAATGGTCCTTATTCTTCGAAATCGAAAATTCGAATTTGAATTTTTTTCAGAAAATGAAATTCCGTTAAAAATATTTCATCAAATTTGTTTACATCAGTAAAATTTTGATTAATTTTCATTAATTATGGGTAAAACCTGCAAAATTGCAAGCTGCAACAAAAATAAAACAATTACAAATCTTTTTAAAGTACCTAAGCACTCATTAAACAAAGATAAATGGTTGTTATTTTTAAAATCAAACAACATAAGTGTCGACGGAAGTGAGATTTCTGCTGTAAGTGATTGTAACACATTCAAGACAAAATTTTCAGATATTGTTCTTAGTAAGGTTGAAATTCCATTTGAGCATTGTTCAAAGACTATTGAAAATTTAATATTATTTTTTGTAACTTTTCGATCAAAACTTGAGCTTCATTGTCGATTGTTACATTCAAAAAACAAATTTGCGTCGAAGAATTGATTTTTGTTCATAAATAAATTTAACGGTCTTTAAAATTTCAAAATTTTTTATAAAAAACTATTTTTCGAATTTTTTCGAAACAGGTTTGAATTTTAGCAAAAATAACGGTCTACATTGTTGTAGGCACCCATTGGGCAAAATCAAAGAGATTTTCTACAGAGGGGTGGTGGAACTCAACGCAGCCACCCCTACCCCCCCCCCCCCCTTCCTCCTTCACTGGCTACATACTTCACTGGCCCTACAGATAAACAGATAAATTGTGATCCATGGTTATCCATGTTATGTAGTACAACATTCTATAATAAAAATAAAAAATAATAATAATGGTCTCGCTTAGATGACGCCTGAAGCTGGCTCATGGCCATTACAAATGCATCCTATTAATTCACGACAGGCGCGTAACCAGGGGGTTGATTTTGGGGACAAATCAATAAATAATAATAATAATAATAATAATAATAAATCCCCCGACTTTAACAGAAATTTCTTCATTTTGCCAAGAGTTTTCCTCGGATTTTTTTTGAAACCCCCCCCCCCCCTTTTCAAATTCCTAGCTACGCCCCTTATTCCCGATATCTTGATACATGCTCCCTTCCTTCGTGGCTAAGCAACTGATTATGTGGATTAAGAAACGGAAATTTTGAAATTCAGGATGCTATTGCCTTTTACTTCTTAAATCAATCAACTTCAAGCCTTAAATCATATTCAAGCAAGCTAGAGAAAATTTACTCGATGAGAAATCACCACTTTTGCATCAAAAAAATTGCAAAAATTTGAAAAACCAAAAAGATTTCGGCTGTAACGCATCTAGAACATTCCGAATATTTTTTGGCTTTATGAGATTTGAACTCATCCTCTTAGATAACTTTTAACATTTTTTAATTCAATTTTTTTCCTGTAATTTAAGAAATAACAAAAATCGATCTTAATATTTTAATTATAATGTATTAAGTTTATAATTGCTTAGTAGACACTTTATGAGAAGATGTGGATTAGTCCTTCATATTCCAGCACAAAATGTATTTAAATTAATTGATAAAATTCCCAATATAAAAATAGTAAATTGACCCAGGATCTTCCTCGAAATGTCTAAACACATACAACAAATTTTAAGACAAACCAACCCACAACCTCCCCACACTTCTCCCAAGACATGCTACAGAAAAAAACTTAGTGATAATACCTTTACACACATATATGAATTTATAAAAATTTCATTTAATATCATTATTAGACGATTGTATACATAGAATTATTCACATGTCGCCTCTTCTATCCATCCATAAGTAATTCAACTCGGTATTGAAAATAAAAAATCGGGTGGTGGAGCTTAAGTGCGCCTTAAAAGTGTTTGTGGTAATGGCGATAAATAGATTAAAGCATTCATGTCTTATAGTATCAATTTTCATCATAGACAGAAGTGTAGAGTAACTGCAAACTACATAATCTTCGTCATCTACTTCTCATTAATGCTCATGCACTTTACCTCTAATCTCGTAAGCATCATTTTCATCCTCGACGTCAATTCCGTCTCATGACTCATATAGTAATCGTGTCTCATATTGAAGAAATATTTTCCATATCATTGAATGTCGTTTGTTTTTAATCGATTTTAAATTACTGTCATTTTATTGAGTTGAGCTTTAAGGTCCAAAGTTTATGATTGTTATCAATTAATTAATTTTTGATCGAAATTACTAATTTTTGCGTCCTCTTAATCTGTTCTACATGCTATTATCATTGATATTTGCTATTCTCATTTCAGTAATAAGTATGAAAAGGTGGTTGGTGTGACGGCTGAAGATATATACATGCAGAAAGGAAGGGAACTAGCCTTCAAATAAGAATCAAAAACCACCATCGGAATAAAGAGAAAAGGTAAAAAAATCAAATAAAATTTGAATTCGTGTTACTGACATTCCACTTTGTATTTCTAGATCTCCATTCGCAGCCTTATCTCCTTTACTAATTTTTAAGACGTCCTTATTTACGCTGTTGAGTGCTCAAAAGTTCTCGATGCCTTAAAAAGTTTTTTTTTCTACCCTCAAATTCTTCATTTACGGAGGATTACAAGGACTAGCAGTAAGATAGAAAGGTGAGTTTGGAAAGGTAATGACAATGAAATAACGAACGATAATGAATTCAACATTTTTTCTGTGTACCGTCGCTTAAACAGGATTTATAAAACATTAATGTTTTTAACCCTTTACTGCTTCAGTAATGATGGAATAAGTTTTTAAACAGCAGATTTTTTTTCTCTCTTTTTTTTTTTTGATTAAATTGCTCAACATAATTTTTATTCTGCTTCATTTTCTAGGGTTAGAGATCAAAAATCCTTTCCAAAGCAAAAAGTTTATGTGATTCTCTCAAGTCATCAATAATTAACAACCTTTAAATAGCTTTTTTCAGGAGCATTTTGCTGTAGTAAGGCACTTGTGGAGAAATGAAAATGAAAAATGCTGCACGCATAAGAGACATTGCCCGGAGACGTCTGGCTATATTGACTGGAAATTCTTTATGCCTTTTATAATTTAACTAACCATACTCTATTTATTTTAAGCCTCAATGTTGGCTTGTTGTGAAGTTGGATTGATTTTTGCGATGAAAATTAAAATTATATTATTTTTATGCGCCGACGGACTTTGGAAAATTGATTTTTGGTCGTCTTTTTATATTTGAACTTTTTCAAAAAAAAAATGAAATAAATCAAATCTAGTTAAAAACCGTCACATGAGATTCAAATCGTCACTTCAGATTCAAACCGTTCAAATCGTTACTTCAGATTCAAACCGTCGCTTCATATTCAAATCGTTGCTTCATTCGCAAAGCGTTACTTCAGATTTGAAAAGTCATTTTATATTTAAATCGTTGTCTAAATTCAAAGCATAGCTTTATTTTCAAATCGCAGCTTCATATTCAAAGCGGCACTTCAAATTTGAATCTTCGTTTCATATTTAAATCGTTGTCGAAATTCAAATCATTGCTTTATTTTTAAATCATTGCTTCATAAGAAAAGCTACACTTCAGAATTGCATTGTTCCTTCATATTTGAATCTTTGCCTACGCTTCAAAGCATAGCTTTATTTTCAAATCATTGCTTCTTATTCAAAGCGTCATTTTGGATTCAAATCGTTGCTTCAGATTGAGGTCATCATTTCTTTAGAGTCAAATCTTTTAAATATTTCTAAACAAAAGACAACACTTTATCCTTATCTTCCGAATATCCTTATTTGCTAGCCTTTGAAATCCAAATCCCAAAACAAAGTCAGGTCATCTTCCCCAAAGTCATGAGTCGTGCACTTTTCAGAATCATTTCTGCATGTCTCTTATGAATATCTAATGCAAAAATATAATCGAATATTCTGCTGTCATCGATTGAATATTATATATGTATGCACGAGTTTCGTTCTCGTTCCACAGTCGCATATATATACATGATAATGTTGGGTGGGCAATTGGTAAGGGGTGTGATAAACATAAAGGCGATAAAATCATGTTCACTCAACGAGAGTAATTATGAAAATATGAAAATTTCATTACCATTTTCTGCATGATGTGAATATTTAAACGGATCTCGTCTATCGATGCTTGTCATATTTCCACGCTGTTCAGTTCCGTACATCCTCTGTCTCTGTCTCTTTTTCAATATTATACAATTTTTTTTTTATTCGTGTGCTGTTCCTTTTTATTCATATTATTGCATAAGCTTTCGTTCTATGATAAATTATCGGGAAAACATTGTGAATGCTAATTTTTTTCACCATGTCCTGTGCCTTCAATCCACTGAGCAGTGCTTCTACATGCCTCATCTCAAATACTTTTTTTTTCGGAAAAAAAAATTATAATTGAATTATGGACATTATACTGTATAATGGATTTTTTTTCTCCATTTTCTTCTGCATCCCCCTCCTTTCCTACTTCCAACAATTTTTTTTGACAATTTATCACACCCCCGCTATGTTCGAGAGAGATATGTTGTATGCTGTAAGTGTACATCCTGCCTGTG